ACATGAAACGTCAGGGAAACTCAGAACATGAGAAGCCAGGTCGAGAGCCAACATAGGGACAACAAATTCTTCCTCTACCACCACCACCACCACCACCCCCACCACGGCCACCCCTACCACCACCGCGACTACTACTTCTACCACTACTGCTCCTCCTCCTCCTCCTACTACTACTACTACTACTACTACTACTATCACCACCACCACCACCACCACCACCGCCACCACGACGACGACTACTACCACCACCACCACCGCCACCACCGCCACCACGATTACTTCTACTACTACTACTACTACTACTACTAGTAGTCCGACTCCGACTCCGACTCCGACTCCTGCTCCTGCTCCTGCTCCTGCTCCTGCTCCTACTCCTACTCCTACTCCTACTCCTACTCCTACTCCTACTCCTACTCCTACTGCTGTTGCTACTACTACTGCCACTGCCACTGCCACTGCTAATGCCACTGCTAATGCTACTGCTACTGCCACTGCCGCTGCTACTACCGCTCCTGCTGCTACTGCCACTGCCACTGCTAATGCGACAGCTACTGCTACTGCTGCTGCTGCTGCTGCTACTACTACTACTACTACTACTACCAGTACTACTACTACTTCTGCTGCTACTACTACTACTACTACTACCAACAGCAGGAGCAGTCAGCTGCAGCAGCAGTAGAAGCTGCACTTCACATCGGAGTACTGAGTTTCCGCCACTGAGATCCCGGCACATTGTCGCGGCAGAACACCGTATCTCTTGTTGCAGGCCCACCTGAGATGTCGGAAGCCACTACTCCAGGGGCTGATCGGTAGCTGCTGTTTGTTTCTAGGCGGTGTGAGATGATATAGGTGTAGTCCCGTCACCTCTACTCCAACTTTTTTCGAAGTGCTGATGCACCGTTCGGTTGCACGTATCATCCCCTGTGTGATCGGGCAAAGAACCCGTGAAAGTTTGGGCACATGCAAGCTTCTCTCATGATGAGCAGCTGCTGGAGATTGCTGTACGTGCTAGGGTCAATCTGTGCATCCTCCAGTGCTCGCCTTGAGATGGCATGGACATGTAAAGTTGGATATTGAAATCCCGTGCTTTGGGGCACAGAGGGTCAAGGCCCCGAATTGTAAAATCCCAAGCCTGAACCTGAAGAGGCTAGCTGGCCAACCCCTGAACCCGAAATAGAGTCAAGCACACAAGCAACGGATGAGGAAAGGACGACTGCATCAATGCAGCTGTCGCAGAGGCCTCCACAGTCTCTTTTGCTGGCTAATTGTCTAAATCGCAGGGCCCTTCTGAGGGTCCTTACTATGAGAGTGTCGCATGCTCTTGAGGATGGACAAGGGGGTATGTCGCAGCCTTGCCCTGGTCGAACCCTTAGGGCCGTAGGCCTGCCCCTTTTTCCCCTAGCCAGCCTAGACCTACCAAGGTCTACCCTATACCCTGGCCTAGACCCTCGGCAAAGGGTCGGCACTAGCCCAAAACCCCATCCCCTATATGACACCCTAAACCGCCCGGTCCTCGGTCGGTGAGCCACAGAAGGAGGTCGCAAAGCGTGTCCAGGTCTACAGTGCCCAGCTGCTTCCACTCTGCCTTGTTCGAGGCTCAGGATTGTTGGGCTTCCCTAAGCACATCGAAGGGTCTGCTAGGGGTTTTAGGGGGTTTAGCGCTCAGGCTTTGAGGGTGTAGGGCCGTTTCAACATCTAGGGCTTCTCTAAAGGTCGAGGTGCGTGCTTGTGATTGCCGTGTGAGGTTTGATCACACTTAGCTCATTAGACGTCTGTCTGACGGTATCAGGTTCGGGCTTCGGGATGGGGCACGGGGGAAGTGTAGGACTTAGTGCTTGGGATTTAAGGCGGAGGGGTTGAAGGCTTCGGGTGGGAAGTTCAGGATTTAGAGATTGACAGTGCTAAGCAACTTCGAGTTTAAGCTTCGGCGATCCAGCAGCTTGGTAGAGTCTGGTCCTCAGGTTCTCTTAACCCCATACCCGCTACAGCAAAGACTAAACCACCTGCCCAGGGCCCGGCACTCTGAAACCTTGGCTTTAGGAGCCTGAGTTTAAGTCCTGGGACCTTCAAAAAGCCTTCACGACCTGACAGCCTGAAGCCCAGGAGCCTGAAATTCCCTAAACACTAAACCCTAAACCCAACATCCAGCTCCTTAAGCGAACTTGACTCCGAGGCACATCCGTCGTACCGCCCTGGAGGATTGCGATGAAGCGGTCCTGTTCACCACTCCAGGGGTGCAGTTGAAGGCATTGGGCCTGGGTTTGAGGGTATGTGGGCTCAAACACCATGCCATACGTGTCTTTGGGGGGGGTATTTGGACCCTTGGTTTTGGGAGTTTCTTCAACCCTGAACCCTGAATGCGTCGCCCACGAACCCGGCAGCCCCATGGACCATCCAAAAGAAGGCCGCCACGCATAGAAAGACCGTTCCTATAGGACCCCTTGTAGAGCTGACCACGACATGTCCCACTTCCGCCGGAATTGGTCAGTCCACTAGCTAAATGCGGCATATGTCTATCGATTTGTTCGTAGCGGACATCCTTCACACGCCTTGTTCTTGTAGTTTGCGCACCGCTGTACATCTCTCGGCTTCAATGACCCAAAGTACCAAGCCAAAGCATCACTTGGCAAAGCTCCTTCTCATGTGGTGTAAGCACACCGGATTGTGCCGACGCCTGAACAGCGCAGGTTTTCTTAGCAGCGTTTGCTCTGGGGCTTAGGATAAGGGTTCAGAGTTGAAGCTAGACGTTTCGGAAATTTCGACTTGGGCTTTGGTCTCTCGCCTGGCACACTCCTAACCCTAAACCGGCTAATGATTCATGGAAAGTATAGTGAAATTAAACACCGGCTTCCGGGGTGCAGTAGAGTATGCTTGTATGAAGGAGCCCTGAGGGTTGAAATTGCTGTTTTTTCAAGCTGCAATACCATAGTAACCCTCACTCATACCAACCGTTTTAAAGAAACCTTACAGGAACCCCTATAGAAACCCTTAAATAATATTGCGAACCGTTCAGGCTTCTATACCACCGTGAGCTTCGGATTAGGGGCCCGCAGGCCTTCGCCTTGACTTGGCTAACACAACTTCAGGGTACTTCAAGGCGCCTCGGTTCCGCAGTAGCCCCTCCATAATACGGGTTTGGGGCTTCGGGTTTAGAACCCAGTAGCCCCTTACAAATAAGGGTACCCTTGTTCCTACTGTTCGACTTTAAGAAGGACAAACCCAATATTGAGAAGGGCAAGGGGGTACTGCTGGGAGACCTGGAGACCACACAAGCCCCAAGTGAGGGCTTACAAGCTTTCGAGTTTAGGGCTTTGGGGCTGGGAGTTTAGGGTTCCTTCACAGGGTTCTATACCCTAAAACCCTAAACCCTAAACCGCAAACTCTCAAACCCGAACCCACTTCCAATTGCGCTCGGGACGGCCGCAGTGTTGTGCCCGAAACCAGCCTCGAACGATCAACCGCCATTGCAAACCCTGATACAGGGGCCTCGTTTTTTCAGAACAGGGGTGCTAGGGCACAGTATGCTATAGCTATATAAGGACATACTGTTGATGATAAAAACCCTGCATTACTTTAAGGACCCTAAACTTTATGGGAATCATGGTATATTCCTTATTATGGGTACTGCAGGATTTATATCATCAACCGTATGAGGAATGTAAGGGCATAATCTTGTTTTTCAGACGCCCACACAAAAACACCAAACCTCTGGCCCCATCTCCCGAGTTGGGCCCCCGACTGGCATAGCAGCATCGGCCTTAGTGCGGAAGAGCTACGGGAAATGGATTATTTGGGTAGTTCTCTAAATTTGGGTCCCTTTGGGGTCCTTTTTATAAGGGTGCCGTACTATATTGGGGGCCCAAAAGAGGACCCTAATTTAGAGAACTACCCATGTGAGTTTGAGCGTTAAGGGCTTAGGTGCAAGGTGCGGTTCAGGGGTGATGTGGGTGATAGATTTGGGCCTGCTGGAGCTCTAAGCCCCAATGGGCTCCAACCGTAAACCCCAAACCCTTGCACTGAGGACGCAGCAATCATGGGGTAGCATGTCGTGGCTGATGAAGCGCCTCAAGGTGGTGAAAGTTTTGGGGCTTAGGCTTAGGGTTCCTATAAGCCCTAAACCCTAAACATCATAAGGCCTTATAGGGGTTAGGGTTCCTAAACGGGTCTGGAGTTCAGGGTTCCTATAGAGGTTTAGGTTGAGGGCTCAAGGTGGTGACTGTCCAAGTTGAGGCTCCTGTACAATGCTTGGAGGGTCGAGGAACTTACTAAGTAGCTAGTTCATAGCATTGAGCAGTACCATAACCTCATTACCTACCCACGTACCAACACTTCAGTATCCTCTGATGAGAACCAGGACCGGGACCCACAGACCAGAACTTCCACAACGTTGCACCAAAAGCCCAAAGCAACAGCCTCAAGCCGCTATGCAAAAAAGGTGCCGTAATATACTTACAAAAGGTTTTGCAATAGATTCTGCTACAAGCCACAATAGACGGAGCTTGACAGGTGTTCTGCTTCATCCGCAAACCGTAATCTCTGCAGCCCGCCTCTCTTTCCAGTCACGGGGACGCGCTTCTTCGGCCCGCAATTGCAGCGGAAACCACAACCGGCACAGTATTGCCTCGGCTTGTAAGGGTTCTTAAATGGTTTGTACCGGGATTCTGCAAGGGTTCTATATAGGCTCGACTCCTTTAGGGTACCCTAAACTGCCTAAACCCTAAACTCCTAAAGTTTTTAAAACCCTAAACCCTAAACATGTGGGGCTTTCAGGGCCTCGTGAGTTTTAGGGCTGCTAGGGTTCGCGGTTCGCGGTTCAGGGTTGAGGATTAGGGTTCGGGCTTACAAAGCAAACAGGCGTTTTGTCGGATACCCTGGCGCTTGAACTACATCCGCTCGAAAAGCTTTGTGTGATTTTTTGATTCTCTGGTGGCAACGATCTGAGCAGGAAGACCCGTCTCATTCGTCTCTTTGGAGGGGAGGCAGAAGCCAAGCCCTCAAGCTCACTCGGCTGCAGCAGCAGCCCGTGCTGTACACTTCATGTGATCCTCAAGCAAGGTTCCTGCTCGGGAAGAAAAACTGACTAAGGTCACCTCGTGAGTGGAAGCAGCGATGTGTTCAGCATGCCAACGCTGCCTATCGGCACCAGTACTTCGGAAAGCACAGTGCCTCCTGGCCGCGATGTCTGCCTGTTCATTCAGTCTCCGGCAGGTGGTCGCATCGAGAGCGGTGTCCATCGCGATTTCTTGCCGTGTGACGGTACCCAGATGAAATGGACCTGAGTCGCACGCATTCTGATCAGTTTGACAGCAGAGAAAGCTTCGTAAGCCAGCAGTCGTAAACAGCAAGCTCCAGGGGAGACCAAAGCCTTCAAAGCCGCCTCACAATCCACCAAGATGAAGAGCGCCTCAGGGAGACATGGAAGGGTCGCAGCAGCAGTGAGAAGCTCCCCCAGCGCCAGAAGCTCCATGCGAAAGGGCGTCTGGTCTTCACCTTCGTCTGCTCCGACAAAAGTCCATGGCGGAGACTCGGACACGATGGAGAACGCGCCAATCTCGTCCCGGGAACTGCCGTCGGTAGCCAACACCGCTCGTTGCGGAGAGGCTTCGAAGACAGCTTTGAGTTGCACTCTCAACTCCTCTCTGTCTGTGATGCCAGTCGGGGGAGGTGGCGGGAATTCACGTAAAGGAGCACCAAGGAGCCGCTCGCCGACTCGCTCCGTGGGGGGATCAACGGAAGGTCGTTGCTCATCCAAAGCTGGGCACAGCCATTGCAAATGAGCTCGGCTAGGCCACGAGCGCCCACACAGACACTTAACTTCGCCTTCGAACCTAAGTCGTTTGGCCAGGAACCAAGAGTTGCATGCAACAGCAAGTGCAGCATGTCGGTCAAAGGGCCCAGCAGCTCGCCGATAGACAGTCTTGTGGCCTGAAAAGGCAAATCGCGTGCCTGAGGGGGGCGCAGGGAGGCTTAAACCAACCGCAAGGGACGGGTCATGCCTATGTAAGGACCTAACTATGCGGCCACAGGTCATCGTCGCCTGCAGCTTGTGGCAGTCAATCAACCAGCTCCTAAGAACTCGAGGCGAATCCACACCCATCCGATAGGTGCGTGTCCGCATCTGATCGTCCCTGCGCAGGAGTGCACGGTTGTGGCAGTCAAGTTGCCACCCATGTTTCTGGATAACTTGATTTGCCACCGGGAGGCCATGGCAACGTGCGGATTGTAGCTCATTCAAGGTGATCGCTTCAGATGGTTCTAGGACACTCGTCATAAGTCTTTCGAGGGCCCTGATGGCAGACCATTCGGCCAACCAGAAAACATCCAACTCCCATCCTAGCACTTGGCCAACAAGCACTCTTGGGGCCTCCTGTGTCAGATTACGTTGGAAAGCCCATCGGATGGATTCAGCAATTCGGGTCATGGTGCAGGGTTCAGGCACCGCCACGCCCGCAGCCCAAAACATTGCAGGAAAAATCAAAGCCTTAAGCACCCGCGCTTTAGCCTCAATCCCAAACCCTGTGAGAGCAGCCAGCCGAACTCTTTCAAGGAGTTTGGGAAGACGCATCTTGAGGAGTGAGGTTTCACCGGTGTCAAGGGCTAGGCTAACGCCAAGGAAGTCGAGGGTGGCAGTTTGGGTGTAACCGCGGGCGCGGGTGACCTCATGCCACGGACCATCGGACTCACATGTAACAAGATGGCACTTGCGAGGCCTGCAGGACAGGCCTGCAGCAGCATCAAAAGCATCGCTCCTGGCAAGGGCATTCTCCACCTGCTGAGAGTTAGCACGGTTTCTGGGTGACCACATGCACCGGTCATCAACGAAGATGCCACACTCGATGTCACGAGCAGCAATGTGCTCAGTCCACAGCTGGCCGAGGCCCAAACTGAGTAGAGGAGACAACGGGCAGCCTTGCAGGATGCCAATGTTGGCCGTGCGCCATTGGCTGTCACACAGGCCTTCAGCAGTGAACATACGGAGTTGCATGCTATAAAAGCTCTGGACCAAGGTTACCAATTGCCCCGGGGCTCCCAGCTTACAAAGAGCACGACACACCACCTCAGTCGACAACGAGTCGAAGAAGGCATGCAAGTCCTGCTGGACGAAAGACGTTGTTCCATCCACCCAAGCGTCAAAGACACGCTTGTGGAGATCCACAGCAGAGTTGCTAGGTGCACCTCCAACCGCGCGGTGGGACATCCAGCTCAGGGTCCAGGGGAGCAGGCGCTGTACAATGGCCCTAGCCCCCGCCCTCCAACAAGTAGAAAGCAGGGCTATGGGCCTAGTTTCGCTGGCATTCTTAGCAATCAGAACTATGGTGGAACGTTGCCAATGTCTTGGGATTTGGCCTGTGGCAATGATCACCTTCCAAAGCATGGCATAAAGTTGCCACCACCGAGGCGGGAGCTTGAGTAATGTACTGGCAGCCCAGCCATCGGGGCCGGGTGCAGTTTTTCTCATCTTTCGCATGGCCTTTTGCAGGTCTTCGACGGTGGGGGTGATGTCGATCACATGAGTCTCCCTACTACTAAGACCATCCAAAATGGCATTGAAGGCAGGTAAGTTCGGCTGCTGAAAGGGACTGGCCCACCGTTTGGTCCAGTGGGCACCTTGATCCTCGATTTTTGCTGCCGGGTGAACGTAACCTACCTTAGTCGCCACAGGGTCGGTGGCAGACTGGAGGTGAAGTGCTTTATCGGCTCGTCGCTTGACCCACTTGATGGCATTATCAACAGAATCACGAATTGACGCTTGCCACTGCTCAAGCCGCACTCGCCTTTCCTGTTGACGGTACTGGAGCTCCAGGGCCTCAACCGATTCATTTGCCAGGTCTGGGTGGTTCAAGTCCACCGAGGGCAGTTCGGGAACCTGTACCCGCACACCATGAATGGAACGAGCAGTGGCCTTGCGGAGGTCATCACGCCATGGTTGACGAATCTGCTGATGCAGCCTCTGAGTGAGTCGTCGCAAGGCCTGAAGCCCTGGGGATTCATGTCCCTGTTTGGAAGGCCTCCGCGGGTGGCGAGAGTAAGAACTCGGCTCCCACAGGTCACTTCTACGGCAGCCCCCCCCCTGAACACCAAGCAAATCCTCACCAAGGTTAGACAAGGCGACCCAAGCCTCCTCGACCTGATTGTTTTGCAAGAGGTGCAGTAGTGCAGGTTCCGCCTGATGCAGGATGGTGCGGTGCTCGTCCTCAAGATGCTCAAAGGCCGAGAAGTCACGGAATCGCGGGGCTCGCCACATGGGTGGATACAAATCGTGACCATAGTCATAAGCCACCAATGCATGATCACTTAGAGGCTTTCGTCGCTCTGTGGTGACATTTAAGGCAAAGAGGCACGGGTGATGCAGGGCAAAATCAATGCGCCGAATGTCAGCTGGGCTGGTTGCAGGTAGACTGACCTGTGACGCATCATCCGCCGCCCTCAGAGTGCCCGCTGCTAGAGCAGCCGAGATCGGGCCTTCTTCCTGGGTGACATTGAAATCTCCCACGATAATGAAATGGCCACCATACGCCTGAAGAGCAAAGTGGAGCTCCGCGAATGCCGCATGGGTGCGCTCCGCACTGTCAGCATAGCCATAGAAAGCGGCAACCAGGATGTGGTGATGGACCGTACCAGAAGGCCAAGCAATGAGACCTGCAGCTACCCTGGGACCTGCCAGGTCCAACTGTAAGTGGGCAGGAGTCACCGGCAAAGTGGAAACCAGCGCAACTCTGTGACACTTGCTAACGTCAGGAGGGCTAAGGATGATCTTGCATCGTTTGGCTTGCCACTCGCTAACGTATCCCACTGCTGAGGTTGTGTTAATGTTAACCTCCTGGAACGAGGCCACAGCCGCATCGAAATCACACATTGCCGCATGCATTGCATCGGTACTGCTGATCCCTTTCTTGTTGACGTTACAAGTCAAAACCGAGATGAATGTCTCAAAGGGTTTTCACGGATGGCGACGAAGGCGGACTCGAAGGTGGCCTGAACCTGAGCCGGTGTGAGGCCGGGGATAGGCCTGTCACCAAGCCACTCCCGAAGACGCTCTGTTCGCTCAACCTGGCGATCAATGGTCGACAGTCTTCGAGGTTGAGGACAAGTGGCACCTGTATGCAGCTCAGGCTTCTCGTTGAAGATGATGCCACACCTTCGGCACTTAATCCAGCTTTTGAAGCAGCACTTCATAATGCGACGGGCCCTGAACCGTGATTGTCCCGGGACCTTGCTTCCAGGTTTGGCATACACAGGAGTGGGCCAAAGGAAGGGGACACAATGCTCCGGCAGTCTTGCACTCACGCGGGCGAGGCTGGTTTTGCTGATCTGGTTGATGCGCCTTTTGGCACTCAGCTTTGGGTTGGTGCCTTGTTTGCGCCGCTGATCACGAAGGATTTCTTTCCACCTTTCCTTGCTGATGCGAGGATGCTTAAGGCCACGATGATCAAGCTTGAGGTGCCAAGTGACACTTCGCGACATGGTCGCAGCCTCTTCTTTAGAGATGCCGACGTTGCAAAGGGGGCACTTCCACGCAACCTCATCGTCAGGGCGGACCTGGACTAATCGCGCCGTATGAACATCCCGCAACGTATTGAGCACAGGGTGCCCTGGGTGATGCTGCTTCATGTGCCAGGCCTTGATAGTCAAGAGCTGGGCTCGGCTGGCGCCCCGCTTCTTAAAAGCGCACAGCCTACGTTTGAAGATGTTTTTCCGCAGCATTTCAGCAACCTCAGGTGGTGGCACGAGTCGCCGTTGGGGACGAGCATGGCCACTGGGGGGCGCAGTCTCATCAACAGCATCGACGTCCTGAATGGTGCCAACAGACCTAGCTCTACCAACCGAAGAGGCAGATCCCCGAGCACGACTAGGCATCCTCGACGATGGTACGACAGAGTTGGGAACCTTAGCGGGGGTTTTACTTTTAGGCCTGCCCTTCTTTGTCTTGGCACCACATGATAGACCGCTCGAGGGTTCAGTACGCAGATCAGCCGCTCGGGTGCCACCACCACCGCTGGAAGCCGATTCTGTGACAAGCTCAGAAATGCCACCGACTAAGAAGCCCCCGCAAGGATCCGCCTCAACGTCCAACAAGTCCTTGGGATACACCTCACCAGTGGGGGCGAGGTAATCAAAATGGTTCGAGGAGTAGAAAAAGCAATGGGTGGATGATGCCCATTTCTTGCCATACGCAACAACCGGGAAGTTGGCATCTTCAGGAATCAGCACAACCTTGGTTTTTGTAAGCTTGCATAAGGCTCGCAATTCAATATCGCCCGAATATGAACCCGGCTTGGAGATTTCCTGCACAAAGGTCTCCCAGTCGGTACACGGTTTGCCATCAGGGCCCCTTGACCCATCGTCCTTCCAGGCTTGACGGTACCACTCAGGGTGGCCCTGGATGTGGGTTGCAACCCGTGCACGCAGCTCCAAATGGTGAAATGAGGGTTCGGTGCGCCCACGATTGAGAGCACACGCCATCGTGCGATACATGCAGTTGCCATCCTTATCTTGAGCCTCGAGTCGGGTACCAACCGGAGGTTGCCTCTGGAGTGCCTTCTGCCGTTTTGGCGCCGATGCAGCCTTTGGGGCTGCTTTGTTTTCACCTGTCTGCGCGGCGGTGCCAGCTGGGGCACTTGCATCATCAGGCCCATTAGCATCAGGAAGAGTGATTGTCACCGGCACCGGATCCAGAGCACTCTTTTTGGCAACGAACGGAATTGATGCTCCGTGGATCGTACGCTGTTTAACTGCAGCCTCCCTCGGGGGTGCCAACTTGGCCCATGCAACAATCTGGCCGTCATCAAGGTCGATGGCAATCGGGAGCAAGTCAACCTCATTACCGCGTGTGCATGCACCACGGAAAATGAAGTTTTTGGTGCTGCCCTTGTGCACCTGTCGTATGATGCTCAACTCACTAAACTGGGTCTCCAAAATGGTCTTGGCCTGGTCCACGTCAATGGCACGTGGGACACCCTCAAAAATCCAGATACGCTGGACGAGAGTCTTAGCATCAGCGTGGTGTCTGCTACCCAGCTGCTGACCCCGACAGGCAAGTCCAAGGGCTCCAGAGGATCGCATCGCGCGGGCAAGGTACACCGCGCTTGGTTCATCTTTGGTTCTTTCAATCCATTGCACATACTGATTGGTGGACTTCTCTCTTGGGGCCTGGACAAAGATGCCTCCCGATCCCGATTGTGCCAGCAAAGAAGGAGCATCAGCAGTGGCAATCTTGATGACTCCAAAAATCTGTCTCCTATTGCCGGGCGCAAGTTCCTCTGTCCACTTGAACGTATCAATGAGCTGAACCCTTTGAGCTGCCGCCCACTGCGCAACTTGTGTCCGAGGGGACGAGCTAAACCTTTTCCAAGCATCAGCCGCAATGAACTCTTGAGGGACTTTTACATAAAGGACCGTGGCATCCTTGGGAGTGATTTTGGGTGCTGTCGTGAGACCTTTGGGCCGAGACACGTCAATCCCAGCAGTGGTGACCTGATGGACAAAGGCATCTAGGAAACGGACGAAGTTGCCAGCCTTGACCGGCACCCTCTGCCGAGAATTGGCGCTCGAGTCGCCCTTTCGCTCTGTCGGCTTGCGGTCCTTGGCGAACTCAATCAAAAGAACACTGTGCTGCCTACCCGATGCCTGCAGCAGGTTCTTGGCTGTCTCGACTTGATTCGGCATGCATTGGACGACTGCCCTGAAAACAACATCATTGTTTGCCTCGAACTTGGAAGCAAGCTGACTGTACTTGATGATGGTGGCTTCCCAGTCCTGCTGTCGCAATTCCACCTCGGTTTGAGTGTCACGACGGGTGGCAACAAGAGTCCACTCATCCTCAGCCGGGGCCGGCTCTTTGGGTCCTTTGCCTTTGCCTTTCGGAGTGGGAGCCTGGGAAACGCCTTTGTCTTTGCCTTTGCCCTTCCCCTTGCCCTGGTCAAGCGCATCAGCAGGAGCTCTTAGGGGTGCCGATGGTGTCAGTGTGCCTAGTCTCCCCGTGCCTCCAACGAGCGCACTTTGCGAAGAGCAGCTTTCTTAAGCTTGGCTTTCTTCTTGCGTGCATTCCTAGGAGAGGCACTAGGTGCTGTGGCAAGTCCTGCCTGTGCAAGGGACTGCTGAATGGCCTGCTGCACAAGCTGAACAATCATGCCTTTTAGGGAGTCAATCAAACCCGGGCCTAAACCACCTAGGAGATCAGGGTGAGGTGTACTGGCAGGTCCTGGGTGGCTCGCCTCCCCAAAGCGAACACCCGCTGCAGGTCGTCCACTCCACCTCGCAGTCGAGGCAGTAAATAACCGGGCAGTGCCGACTCGCAACCCATCGAAGCATGCAAAGCACGAGTCAATGCAGGAACCAGCTACATAGGCAGGGCCAGGAAGGTGCAGACAAGCTGGGTTTGCAAGTGCATCCGGGGTTGGCTGGTCCAGGGCTTGCCTATCGCGTCGGTGCAAAGCCTGTCTTCGTGCGCGACGGGCGCGGCGTCGACAACTTGCAGTCACTCGTCGTCGTCGTTTGGGCCGCCACCTCACAAAACGGCAAGACCAAGCGCGTCGTCGACCACCAATCCATTTTGCTTTGGCAGCCTTTCTTACACTAGCTCGGCGATTATCCTGCTGAACACCGTTGGTACACAGCGGCACATCGGAACTTTCATCACCACTGCAGGGTTCCGTGATTACGGGGGGTTCTGAGGGACCAGTCATAGGCTCATCAGTCAAGACACCTACCCAGGGCGCATCGGCCGTGGAGGGGTCACTGCACTCTTCGTCACGGTGGATGGGAGGCATCTCCCCGGCACATCGCTTCTCGGAGGGTGGCACATGTGATCCACGGGAACACTGATCACCTTGCGCCGCTGGCAATGCACATCCCATGCAGTGCCAGGATTCATATTCATCTTGTTTGTCCTTCATCCCAGCAACAAGCTGGGCTCCCAATGCCCTTTGCAGATTATGCTCGATCCCACATGCATCTGTCAGGACATGTTCGATCGCCAGCAGAGGGTCTGGCCACCGATCCACCTTGGTAAAGAGATTCGCAAGCAGTGCCCCCGGGGAGGGTGACATGGCTCGACTAACTAGACTGAGTTTTCGTACCAGGCTTCCCCTACCTGGTCCAGCTGGCGCCCCGAGGAGGCACTCAGTCTTTTGAGCCCAGCTAGCTTTGTGTGACTTACAGAAACCCGATACACGCCTGGTGAGGGTGCGTGAAGACCCCCCACCCATTTGCTTGACCCTAACATGGTTATCGCTTTTTACTCTTATTGTTTTACAAGACTTTGGGGCCTGTATGATCTGAGCTACGGTTACGAATACGAACATTCGTTATCGTTTTTTGTTACTCTTATCATTTACAAGCAACTCGCAACTCGAGTCTCAACGTATGAGGGCGCATCTACTCGAAAGAAATGCTCTCGGGGGGTCTTATCATCCCTCCCCTGAAAGACGTAAGACCGTTCACACATTAAACGGCCTCCAAACCCTTCCAAACCCTCCAAACCCACTGGCCCGCTTACATGCTAAACCCTGGCAAACTGTTGAAAACCGTTGAGTTGAAACCCTCAAAAACCCGTAAACCCTTAAACCCCCCTATTACATATGTCATGCACTCTGGCGACACCCCTAGCCGGTTCAACCTCGCATTGTTCCAGCTACCAGTAGGACTCATCTCACACTCACTCACTAAAAATCAAGCGTCCAATATAGGGTCTAGAGTTCTGCTTGGAAGAACTTGTTCAACCCCTCAACCCGGCACACAAACACCAAGCACTAAACAAAAAAAGCAAGCACAGCTCAGCGGAGTGTTTAGCCAACACCAAACCCCCGGCACCTGGAAGTGTTAAACATACAGGCCTCTTCAGCAGCCTGCACCCCGTGCAAACTTCGACATGAAAACAACACCCTTTCAATCCCATACAACCCTCTCTAATTGCACCCGCTAAAACCCTAAACACGGCTCCCAGAACCCTTAACCCTGGACCGAAACCCCCTAAAACCCCACACTGGGCTCCGGGCGCATGGTATTGGCAGCGCACGATGCCGCTGGAGCGGCCGGCGCCGCGCCGGCCCTGTAGATCCTTTCTGAAACGTTTTGGTTTAGGGTTTAGGGGATTTGTGGGGTGTTATAGGTGCTGAACGGGTTCTAGGGGGGTGTGTAGGATGCTATGTGGAACTTTAGCTGTCAGAACGTTTTAGAGGTTGGGGCTTGGGTCTCGCGGGAGTAGGGCTAGGGATTGGGGTTTTGGGGCTTCTAGCCCAAGACGGCTGTTGACGGTCACTGGCTTCGGGATGGAAGCAGGGCTTGGGGGGTGAGAGATTTCTGCACGACTTTAGGGGATTTAAAGCTTAGGATGAAAATTCCGTACAAAGGGCTTCCTAGTTCTAGTCAGGGCTTGTATCAACGCTTTGGTAGAAGAGGGCCAGAGGATGTTCAGACGATTAAAGACTGCAAACTCTAAGTCCTTTAGGGTTTTTCGGGCTTAGGACTTAAAGCCTGAATCCTAATTTGAAGGACCCTAAACAGCTAAAGCGTAACAACGAACAACAGTAAGACCTTTAGATCCCTATCCCAGACCTGAATATCCCCCTCTCCAGAAGAAAATGAACCTAAACCCTAAACTTCCTCAGCCCCAAACTCCCTTAACCCTAAACCCTAAACCCTTAACCCTTAACCCTCAACACTAAACCCTTAACCCTAAACCCTAAACCCTCGACCCTAAACCCTTAACCCACATCTCCCAAGCCAAAGCTAACTCTGCCTCGGCAACGTCCTCCATGCCGCCTGCACCTCGCTCGGGAGCCGGGGCTTTTTGGGTGCACCGATGGGTTTTTCAGCCTCTCAGCAAGGTTTAGGTTTTAAGGGTTAAGGGTTTAGGGTTTAAGGGTTTAGGGTTTGGAGTTTTCGGGATTACTTGGGGTTCAGGATTTATCGTAAAATCTGTTGCAGAGAGGATGCTCGAATGTTTCAAAAGGGCTTCACAGGGTTCTGTGTTGGGTGTGCGCGAGCGACTGGTTCCCAAAGCCACCAAGCCTCCATCTTCCTACAAGACGCTGCCAGAACTCCGTGTGCTGAAACTGGTAAGTCAATATTGACCTGCCTTTTTCCGGAATTGTGCATAGAAGCCCAAACAAGGAACCCCAACAAGGTAGGTCTTTTCGGTTAAAGGGATAGCGGGTTTAGGGTGATTGGATCTATCTACAAAGAACTGGACTCTGAAAGCACAGTCTCTTTGCAGTCCACGCAGCCGAAGGATGCAAGGAAGGCGGCGAGGGATGCCAAATCTTGGCATGCCAGGGGCCTCGGGACGAACGAGGAACTGGGTTTAGGGGTCAGGGTTTATGGCCGTTTAGGGTTTAGGCTTCGGGTTTTAAAGGAGCCTTGCAGTGATACAGGAGATGGGGTTCCATCGGGCTCCTTAATATATTTTTAGTATATAAAGAAGACCTCATCAAATTACTCTTTACAGTCTTTACACAATGACTAATTAGTGGCAGTGTGTCTGGTCGGGGGTCGGGTGGTGTTCAGGGTTCCGAGCTTAGGCTTAGGCGTAGGCTGAGGCGTTCTGCCAGGCTTTGGGAACACGGAGCTTGTACGAAGGTGTATCGGCAGCTTTAAATAGCGTTCTAGGTGCTTGCAATGTCTTTAAACTTGATATAAGCACAGAACAACAACTCTATACTTATGACTTCGCAGCTCTTGGGACGTGCCACGCACATCAAAATACTGAACATCACGAAACCGAAGCCTGAATCCTCAGCCAAAGCCCAACCCCCACACCCTAAATCCGGCACCGTAACTCCCAACTCCGGCACCCCGGAACCCTGAACCCAAAGCATTCCAAAGCCCAACACCCAAAACCCCTATAAGAACCATGAAACATGTAAAAACTCTAAATCAATAAGAGACAGCTGAAAGCTTCAAAATCCTTTATGAGCCCTCTACGAGCCCTAAATTCCCTCAAACCCTAAACCCTAAACCTCAAACCGTCCCTTAACCCTCCTAAACCCTAAACCTTAAACCCCTTCCTCCAATACGGAGCCGTCTCCCTTTGCTGGGCCCTCCCACGCGGGCTCCAACCCCCGGCTCGAGTCGGCTGCCAGCCTTTTCGGTGCTCTTTGTGGGGGGCAGGGTTTAGGGGGTTTAGGGTTTAGGGGTTTTTGGGGATTTAGGGTTTAGGGTTTCGCGTTTAGGGTTTAGGGGAGTAGAGGCATTGTCAAGGATTGGAGGTTTAGGGGTTTTCGGGTTGCAGATTCTGCTGCAGGGTTAGAGGTTTAGACTTTGAGGGTTGCAGAGGTTACAGCTTTAACTTTCCTAGGGTTTAGAGCTTCAGGGTGAAAGTTTTAGGGTGTTGGAACTCTAGGCTTGAAGTTGGGGTTTAGGGTTTCGGGTTTAAGGGTTTAGGGGTTTAGGGTTTAGGGGTTTAGGGTGTAAGGGTTTAGGTGTTTGGGGTTTAGGGTCTAAGGGCTTAAGGTTCAGTTTGGGGTTTAGGGCCATCTTGAGCCGTAAACCTGCAGTCCCTATACCCCGAATCAAACATCAAAGTTTTTTAAGGCCCCTAAACCCTAAACCCTTATAGTAGCCCGTATAGAACCCGGCAAGGAACGGCTTTGTCTCAAGTTTCGAGGGGTTCGTGGGTTTTGTCATTCCAAGCAGATACGCCCGCCGACGCGAGATCCTTACTTGGA